GTACTGTATTGTAGTTAGGAAAAAACATTGTATTTAGTATAAAATGTATTTGTATGTTAATATTTTGGAGGGCGGGGAACGGATTAATTCAATTCCCTTTATTTCTTATGGGAAAAATCACTTCGACTTACGATCCGTCTCTGGGAACGGATTAGCATCGTAAGTCAAGGCCCCATTGTATTGCCGAAACAACCGTGGACATCTTTAAGAGAAAGTTGACAGTTTTCTCCAAAAAGTACCAAACCATCTGGGTTGTGGTGGATATGTGGGCCTTCAGGTTGCTCCAAGCAACAGCCTGTTGGATCACTCAAGCTCTCACAAGTCAAGCCTGGCCCCAGGCTGGGCTTAAGGATTAGAAGAACTCCCAGAACCCCATCCAGCAGGTCCTCCACCAATGTAGTAGCAGCAGCTTGTCTACCACCTAGTGGCAGTCAGTATAGTGGTTACTTACTAATTGGTATTTAGCAGTGATAATTGGCTTTTCTTGTGATTACAGTGATCACTTGCAGAGGGTGTTCAGAGGATTGTTAGGCTCTCTTGTTTCACAGCAACCTCCCGCCAAACACACACCGAAACTACGACATTGGTACAACGTTCGAACAAGTTTTAACACCTCCTAACCAGTTATAACAATCAATATAGCAAGTTGTAACAGCGTTTTAATACGTCATAAACACGTTAAGCCAAGGTGTAACAACTTTATTACAAGTTGTACCAAGTGGAAAATAGAGACAGTTTCGGTTTGTGTTTCCAGGGCTAGTCTCTTGGTGGTGGGCTGTACTAGATTCTCTATTGTCTCTCTGCCCCTAAATTTCATGGCAAGACCATTTTAAAAGTTTTTGTACTTGTAATAGTGAGGCTAACTTTGCCTTGAGTTTGGCATCGAGCAGTGTTTTGGGTTGACTCAAGGGAGACACTGTTGGCTCAACTTTGGTGTACACTTGAACCACATCTTGTTGCGGACTCTAAACTCTTATTTTTGGCATCAGCTCAGGAATTGTTACATGTGAGTTCCCTTTGCTATTATGGACCTCTATTACAAGTTTCCTCCTGAAATACTCTGCTCTGTGTTTACACACCCAAACTGTACTCTGGTTGTGTTTTGCCTCCTTATTTCTCCCATTGTGGTACTGGTTGCTGACTATAGTCTCTCTTTTGACATCTTGGAATTTAGTCCTAACAATAGAGGCGGAGGGCTTCTCCACGCTCCATAAACTATCTGCAATTATAACTCCATTCTTATATCAAATGCTTTTGCAGTGAACATGCTGCAGCTTGACTAAAACCAGTTTTTTGAAGAAAATAATCTGTTTCCTTTGAAGGACTCTTGTTAGTCCTTCAGAAGTGCTCATGATTTTACTAGCTCTCCCATTGGAAGCAGGTGATTATTATCTTCAATGAACATATTACAGTTTCTTACCATAAGAACGAGGTAGGCTGGTGGGCTTTTCAATATTATCTTGCCCTAAATCAGATCTAATTCTTTTGTTCTTTCTCACTTGTCATATTTTGAACAAGCGGCTCATGCCAAATATTAGTCATTTTAAGCTAATTTGGCTGGGATGTTTCTTCTTGCCTTTGCTCTTCATCTTTGAAGCTCCCCATTCCTTATGATTGCAAAGCCTTTCTTCATTATTTGTCCATCATGAGCAATTGGGTTAGTGAGCTTCAAGCTCTACTTCATCATCTTGAATTTAACTACTTGTGTTGTGGGGCCATATCTGTGCATTTCCATACCATTCTGTATTTCTTAGCCAAGAACGAGACTAAAGCATTTAGGAGGAACCCTATTGTAGTTTATGCTTGATTCATACGTCCTGCAGTGCATGAAGTCTTATTTACCTGACTTTACCCAAGGGCCACTAATACTAGTAGCCTCGACGAGGACAGGAAGCCGGGGGGGGGCTTATCAAAGGTCCCCCCATTTGTCCTGATGAATTTTTCCAGCTGTATTTTAAAAACCCAGCAGAGTTTTGGCATCTATGGCTTCAGCGGGTAGGTGGTTCCACGGGTTTACAACCCTATGAGTGAAAAAGCATCTGTCTTCAGTCCTACATTGTGGCTTGTTGAGCTTGAACTCGTTGCCTCTCGTTCGTGTTACATATGACCTTTTGAAGAAATTGTCTGGATCAACATCCTCCAAATTGTTTAGTATTTTAAAGGTTTCGATGAGATCCGCACTGTCATACCTAGTTTGCAGTGTTGTTAGCCCTGTGGCCCTCAACCATCCTGATATGAGAGATGACTAAGCTCTGGGATGATTTTTGTTACCTGGTGTTGCATCTTCTCCAGAGCAGCTGTCCTTCTAAAGATGAAGTCTCTATGCTTGGACGCAATAATCCAGGTGGGGGTGCACCAGAGACTTGTACAATTGAATGACTACCTTCTTTTCCTTAGAAGTAAAGGTACACCTGATTATTCCCAGGGTTTTATTCGCTTTTCTGTGGGGAGCCCCTACAGCTCCCTGGAGCTTATCGGACTAATGTATGTTATATTAGACCGGGACATTAGCTAAGGAGTAAAGACCTACCAGGGACCAGCGCTAGAACCTGGCCCCTTCAGAGAGGTTTCAGGGAGCAATGGCCCTGGAAAACCCCCTTGTGGTTGGGGTTTTCCTTATCTGCCATCAACCAGGGTTAGGCACCCAGAAAGGTAGGCATAAAAAAACAAACCCCACATAGTAAAAAAAAAAACTAAAACAAAAAACCGAACAGAGGTAGAAACTCCCTACAATCCCAAGGAAACAAGCAAACATCACACTTTACTGCCGCGCCGATCATCTGCACAGCCCTCCCCACCCCGAGAGGGGGAGGGGGGAGCCCCGGACCTCACCGCGCCGGCTGCCTAACATCAGTTCGGAAGCTAAGCTTCATCCAATGCGAAAAAAATGCCGACTGGTGGGAGGGAGGGTTGCCAGGGAGCCTCCGGGGCTCACCCAGAAAATGGCGTTTCATTACATTCAACACTGGTTTTCTGTGGGGAGCCCCTACGGCTCCCTGGAGCTTCATACCCAAAGAGAAGGAAAAGAAAGGGCTGACCCAGGAGGCAGTCGCCACAAACTCCACAACGTGAAGCCAAGACAACAGGCTGCAACCTACAACCCAAGGCAACAAGAACGCACAGGAGCAGAGACGCGCATAAAGAATGGGCGGCCAAGAACCTGTGCGACCCTCAAAACCCTGCGCCTGAAATGAGCCCTAAATGTCACCAACACAGCAGCGAAAGCTGCAAACGTCCGAACAGCACGAGCACAAGGATAGACCGCAGGCTGGAAGACCCGAAAACTCTGCGGACGACCTGGGAGACCCGAGCCCTGAAACAGGGAACCGGATCAACCCGAAGCGCATACCCAGACACGGTACGCAGGTAACGGCAAAAAGCACAACCGGACAACACAGGACGCACCCCTGGCGTCCCCCGTAATGTATATATTATTTGATACCTTTCTCATCACCTTTCCAAAGAGTACATTTGGGAGCTTTGAGATGGTCCCAATAATTTAGATGTTTTATAGTGTCTATGCATGCCATATATGTTCTCTGTATTCTCTCAAATTCAGATATCTCGCCTGCTCTGAAAGGGGAAATGAGTACCAAGCAATACTCAAGACGGAACAGCACCTTTGATTTAAATAAAATTAGCATTGCTGTGGGTTCTCTGGATTTGAACGTTCTCATAATCCATCTACCATTAAACATCATGTTATTTTCAGTTGCCCAACGAAGACCTTATTAATATCTGCCTGTAGTTTTTCAGTGTCTTCTACAGAGGCAATTTTCATGCTGATTTTTATATCATCTGCAAAGGATGACAAGAAGCTGTGACTAGCATTTTTGTCTACATTTGAGATAAGAATGAGAAATGGCAATGGTGGAAGGACTTACCCTGAGGTACAGAGGTCTTCACTGCACTTGGGCTTGATCTTATTTGACTGACCATCACTCTCTGCATTCTATTTGACAGAAAGCTGAAACTCCAATGCCCCACTTTACCCATTATTCCTACTGATCTCATGTTATGGAGATCACTCCAAGGTCACATTTGTCAAATGCTTTTGCAAAGTTTGTGTAATAAACATCTGCATTTTGCTTTTCTTCAAAGGCTTCTGTGGTTTTGTCATAGTGGTTGAGTAACTGTGACAGACAGGACCCTCCTGCTCTAAATATATGTTATCCTGGGTTGTGTAGTTCATTATTTTCCATAAAACCGGAAATTTGATTCCTAAACACTCTTTCAAAAACTTTTATTATGTGTGATGATAGTGCAACTGGTCTATAATTTTTTTTGCCAAAGCTTTACTCCCCCCCTTGTGCAGAGGAGCTATACCTGCAGATTTAAGTGCTGCTGGTATCTCCCCTGTATCCAGGGGCCATATTCACGAAACCACTTATGCAAGCACTTACGAACCTGTACATCTTTTCTCAATGTTTGGCGGCTGTTTCCAATTATTAAACAGTTAATGAGCTCCGAAGCACCAGGAGGCTGTTTAGAACAATAACAACAGTTGATTGGGACGTTTTCATGCTTGTAAACTGTTTAATAAATGTAACCAAAGCCGTCAAAGATTGAGGAAAGATGTACACGTTCGTAAGAGCTTGCGTAAGTGCTTTCGTGAATCTGGCCCCAGGCTCTTTCTCCATATTAGACTGAGTGCTCGCACTACTAGTACTTTACAACCAGGGAGCCAGGGAAAATATGACAACAATGGGTTAAGATACTCTGTTTTGGTGTTGATGGCAGTCAGGGGCAGTTACTTGGTGGACCATTTAGTAGTTAATGAAAGCCTTCTTGGCAGACCTTGTGATGAAAGGTAGTTATCAGAAAAGCTTTTGAGAATTCACTTTCTCAAAAGGAAAAAAGAACAAAAATTGATTGGACTACTCATGCTGGCACCACTATAACTCATAAGTGACAGTTTGAAAAGTTCCCTACTGCACAGGTTAACAATATTGAGATTACATGTAAATTGCCTTACAAATATAAATGTTCATAATACTCACGCATGTCAAATGGATCTCTCTGATCAAGGAGCTGTTTTTGTTTTATGACGGCATCATTCACATACTCCGGTTCACATCGCAGGGGTGATGGCTGAGCTCCTTCTGATGAAAAATCTATCAAGTTGTCAGACACTGCAAGAAGATTGAGTTGAATTATTACTATATTGCCATTAATTACAATTATAAACAATTGTTCTGTTGCAATATATGCATGAAAGTGGGAATGGCATGATGATAATGATGATGATCACATAGAATAATCAAGAACTTTGATGAGTTCCACAATAAAAAGCAAATTCTACATTATCTTCATTCAAAACAACACTTAAGTCTTGGACAAGAAACCAACCTGTCACCACACTAAATGTGTCACAATCATAATAACTGAAGCGGGATGCAGACATACAAAACCATCATCATAACTAAAAATGGATGAAATTATACTTATTGAAACCATGAAGTTCACTGTCAGTAGCAAAGGCCACAGAAAATTTAGTCTTAAAGATGACAAGTTAAGAAGAATTGGGAACCTGATATTGCTGTCAGGAATAAAACCACCATCCAAACTCAAACTATGGACTGACAAGATGGCTACCTTGTGGAAGTTCTGGGGATCAACGTCCCCGCAGCCCGGCCTCCGACCAGGCCTCCCGGTTGGTTGTCTGGTCAACCAGGCTCTTGGAAGCAGCTGCTCGCAGCCTGATGATAAGGTATTCCAACCATCACAGCCTGGTTGATAAGGTATTCTTCAGATGTTTTGGTCGAGTTCTCTCTCTTGAACATGATGAGAGGCCAGCCATTTATGCCCCTTATGTGTAGTGGAAGTGTGTTGAAAAGTCTTGGGCCTTTGAAGTTGATAAGAGTTCTCCCTCAGCGTACTTATTGCACCTCTGCTTTTCAACGGGGCTAATTTTGCACATCCTGCCTTGCCTACTGGTCTCATGTGAGTTGTTCATCTCCGTGTTCAGATTTGGAACCAGTCCCTCAAATATTTTCCAGGTGTAGATTATTATGTATCTCTCTCTCCTACCTACTCACTAGAGAATACAGAGTTAGAACTTTTAATCATTCCCAATAATTAAGATGACTTACAGAGTGGATTCTAGATGTAAAGCATCTTTGCATGCTCTCTGAGTCAGCAATTTCTATGGTTCTGAATAGTGCTGTTATCTTGAGGTTATCTTGAGATAATTTCGGGGCTTTTAGTGTCCCTGCGGCCCGGTCCTCGACCAGGCCTCCAACCCCAGGAAACAGCCCGTGACAGCTGACTAACACCCAGGTACCTATTTTACTGCTAGGTAACAGGGGCATAGGGTGAAAGAAAGTCTGCCCATTGTTTCTCGCCGGCGCCCGGGATCGAACCCAGGACCACAGGATCACAAGTCCAGCGTGCTGTCCGCTCGGCTGACCGGCTCCATAATGAAAGATGTAACATGAAACTTGATGTCAAAACACTTGAAAGATTATAAATACGTTTTTGGGCCAAATTTTAACATATTTGTTAAAATTCAATTTATTGTGCTTGGAATGTCCTTGTTATCTAACTTGTCTTTTTTCTTGCAGTCATGACAGCTACTTTATTGTATTCTTTAACCCTTAAACTGTGCAACACATCAATAGTTCACCATAACGAACTATTTGTGTTCAAACTATTTGTGTACATTATAACGGTGTTTTGACTCACCATAATGGTATGGTGAGTCAAAACAAAAAGAGTGGCCACCACACACCAGCTAGCAGACGCCACCTCCTTCAACACCCCACTCGGCAACATACCTCCTGCCACCATACTGTTATTGTTGTTATTACAATATACTGTCTACACATTATATATAAGTATCTACATGTTTTGTTCACCGTAACTCTACAACTAAGCTGGTATGGTGTCCAAACAGCATAGTGAACAGCTTGACAAATCACACACCAACCTGCAGACAACACCTCCCTCACCAAAATGGCTCCTTCGAACATTCTTCTTTTGCTGTTATTACACTATATACACACATTATATATAAGTATCTACATTTGTGTTCACATAGCGAACCACTTATTTGGTATAGCGAGTCCAGACAATAACAAGTCGCTACAGAGTGTCAGCAGATGACACTACTTCCCTAACCAAGATCACTCCTTCCACCATACTATGCACATCGTTAATTATCACTACAATCCTGCTATTATGAGAATCCTGATCATTTTTATCACAGTCAGGCTCTTCTGTAATACTATCATCGCTAAATAATAACAGTTACATATATATTTTGACATTTTTAGGCGATGCTGTGGTCACAAACTGAACAGCAGTGCTGTTAGCTCATGCTGTGTGCACCAGCCTTGGTTGCTCACTCAATACTGAAGCTCTTACACCCAAAAATGTTACCCACGATTTTTTTTTAAGATGGTGTCTGTTTACAGGAGTCCTGAGACACAAGATGTGAGCCCTGTGTACAGGCAGGAGTTTTGAATCACTCCCAATACCTAAAAATGACACGTGGCACTCTGCGCACCCTAGATACAGCGCCACAAGGCGCTCTGCTCAGTGTAGTGCTCAAACATCATCATATTATCTGTGGTCCATTGAAAGACCCGATTATCATTAGACTGGAGGTTTGCTGTGTCCTCTATATTGTCTACTCGCATGAAAATTCTAGTGTCATCTGCAAATGATGATACAGTACTGTAGTTTGTGTCCTTGTCTGTCTAATATGAAGATGAGAAAAAGTACCAGAGCAAGTACAGTACCTTGGGGGACTGAGCTTTTTCCAGTAGATGATCCAGATTTTACTATATTACACTCTGCATTTTATTAGTTAAGAAGTTGAAGATCCATCTCCCTACTTTGCCAGTACAGTGGAACCTAGACTTACGAATTTTTCGAGTTAGGACCCTAATTTCATCGGAAAGCTTGATTCGACTTACAACCTTTGCCTCGACTTGCGACTTTGTTAATAAACGTATGGGTTGATGGAGCACGGGCAACCCCACTTCAGTTTACCAGACTACCCACTTAGTGATGATTGCGCTTCAGTTCTTTGTAAAGAATTTAATTGTATTTATGCTTTTATGAACATAAAAGTAATTATTATATATCATGTCATGGGTCCCAAGAAAGTCAGTGGAAAGGTTCAACCTAAGAAAACACATGTGAGGATGACCATAGAGCAAAAACAAGAGGTCATACGTAAACATGAAAATGGTACACAGGTTGTTGAACTAGCTAGGCAGTACAACAAATCTATGTCAACAATATGCACTGTAATTGCTAAGAAAAAGGACATTACGAGTGCTAAAGTGGCAAAAGGCATATCAACAATCACGAAACATGAAACACAAGCACTTGAAAATGTTGAAGAGTTATTATTAGTTTGGCCACACAACAAAGAGTTAGCGGGTGATAGAGTTTCAGAGGCCATCATTTGTGAAAAAGCAAGGCTATTGCATGAAGATCTTATAAAGAAAACCTCTGGAGCGAGTGATGCAGATACGAAAGAGTTTAAGGCGAGCGACGGATGGTTTGAGAAATTTAGAAAAAGAAGTGGCATTCAGTGTTGTGAGAGTTTTAAGTGTTGTGAGTTGGTAGAGGAACACAGTGAAGAACTGACCACTGAAGAACTCCTAGCCCTTCACAAGGAGCAGCTGAGGAAATTTCTTCAGGGGGAGGAGGAGGCAGTACAGAATGTCTCTTCCTCAACAACTATGAAGTGGTGTGCAGTATTTCGCTCATTTCTATGTTGCCATCTGTGAAAGTTCCATCTCTCTTTCGCAGGGGCCCAATACTACACGTAGTTTTTGATCTTAATTTTGCATAGGAGAAGAAATATTTCGGATTTCTCTCTATTTCACTGATGGCCTTTTGCTCTCTTTGTCTCTATTGGATTTTGTATGATTCTTGTAGCTTCTTCTTGTAGGAAACACTGTTCTCGTTAGAGTTTGCATCTTTTTCTCTTTTTTTTCTTTGTGGTATATGCCTTCTACACATTTTTAGTGTTCATGTGCCTATTTTCTCAAAGCACTCGTTAAAGTTTGCATTATTTAGCTGTTCTTCACGGAATATTTCTGTGAGATCTTTGTTCCCAATTAATCAGTTTACCAGTTAATCAGACTAGTTGCACAGGTCTGTTGCCCATGCCCATCTGAACTTCGATTAGGTTGTGATCTAAGTAACAAGTATTTGTAATCGTTATGTCCCTCATCGGTTCATCGTTGTTTGTAAAAATAAGATACACTCCTCTCCCACCTAGTAAGAGACATGCTCCAACTTGTACATAGCTTAGAAGACACCTAGTTTCTTTTACTGTACTCGGACAGAAACAAGAAGCCAAACTTTTTCATTATTTCAGTTTTAAGTCTGGTGGGGAGGAGACAATAGTGAGGCTTCTGCAGCAATTATGATGGATCAACTCCGGCTAGAGGAGAGATAATCCTGCCAAAAGTACTCTGGGTGTGAAGACACTGAGTCTCCCGGATGTAGAGATTGCGATTGGCTGGGCATGACCAGTTAGGGAGCATCCTGATATGATGTAGCTGCCCGAGGTGTAGGCACGAGAACAGGCAAAACTATCACCTGAGGACCACATAAAGAATATTGTGCGAGGAGCCTATGCCACACTTTCTAACTTCAGAATTGCTTTTAAATACATGGATGGCGATATACTAAAGAAACTGTTCACGACTTTTGTTAGGCCAAAGCTAGAATATGCAGCGGTTGTGTGATGCCCATATCTTAAGAAGCACATCAACAAACTGGAAAAGGTGCAAAGACATGCTACTAAGTGGCTCCCAGAACTGAAGGGCAAGAGCTACGAGGAGAGGTTAGAGGCATTAAATATGCCAAAACTAGAAGACAGAAGAAAAAGAGGTGATATGATCACTACATACAAAATAGTAATAGGAATTGATAAAATCGATAGGGAAGATTTCCTGAGACCTGGAATTTTAAGAACAAGAGGTCATAGATTTAAAATAGCTAAACACAGATGCCAAAGAAATATAAGAAAATTCACTTTCGCAAACAGAGTGGTAGACGGTTGGAACAAGTTAGGTGAGAAGGTGGTGGAGGCCAAGACCGTCAGTAGTTTCAAAGCATTATATGACAAAGAGTGTTGGGAAGACGGGACACCACGAGCATAGCTCTCATCCTGTAACTGCACTTAGGTAATTACACTTGGGTAATTACTTGCCCCAGGATGTTGAGGTGACAGGTCACATCACTCGTCATTCTCACAAGGCAAGGTCTGATCCGCAAGGTGGGATGTTTTGGCTGGGAGTAATTAAGAAATAGAGCAGAGGGGACATTGAGCAACTTCTTGAGGAAGTAAAAGAGTGAGAGACCTGCAAGAGGCAGTCGATAAAGGCTCAATAGCATGGTGAACTCCTTGTGTTTCAAGAGGTGGCACTGGGGGGGGGGGGATATTGAGAGTTGACCTACGGGCCATTCCTTGATTTCAATGCTACCAGAAAACTACAGAGTGCAGTCCTGATTAACATACCTGGAGCATACCTGAAGAGGGTTCTGGGAGTTCTACTCGCTGAGCCCAGCCTGAGGCCAAACTCAACTTGTGATAACTTGGTCCAACAGGCTGTTGCTTAGAGCAACTCACAGGCCCACATATCCACTACAGCCTAGTTGGTCCAGCACTTCTTGCAAAAACTTATCTAAGTGCCTCTTGAATACATCCACCTTTGTTCCAGAAATATTTCAAATGTTTGCTGGGAGGGGTGTTGAACAGCTGTGGACCTCTGATGTTGAGACAGTGCTCTCTGATTGTGTCTATGGCACCTGTACTCTTCAACATGGATGAACCAGTACTCTGTAACATGGATGAGGCCAGACTGGTTCTATTCTGCATTTCCTTCTGTATCTTTTGTTCCAGTAGGTTGTTATTCTACTGTGCAAATTTGGGATCTGGCCTTCAAGTATCTTCATCGTACAGTGAAACCTTGACTGCCAAATGCCTCTCTACAAATTTTTCGGTATACGAGCTCAATTTCTTCATAAAATTTAACTCGGTATTCGAGGTTTGCGTCACTTCTCGAGTTTGTTGATATACGTATGGGTCAACTGAGCACGTGGTTCTGATGGCTCAGGCGAGGCGCGCCTCAATTTACCAGTGTGTCCCGCCTGGTGACGATAGTGCTTAAATTCTCTGTGAAGAATTTCACAAAGAATACTCCAGTAGCAGCCCATAGCAGCTGTCTAACTCCCAGGTACCTATTTACTACTAGATGAACAGGAGCATCAGGGTGAAATAAACTCCGCCCATTTGTTTCCGTCTCCGCCAGGAATTGAACCCGGGCCATTAGAACTACGACTCCCAAGTCATGTCCACTCAGCTGGCAGACCCCTCTGTGATTTCCTCCACGTGTGACTGAGGTACCCCCCCTTGATGGCAGTGGCACCATGGAAAGGGAAAAATGCCTCGCCACAATTTCTTAACAGGAACAATAACAAATTCTGTCAAGCCTGACCAACATGCTACTGTAGCTGGACAGAGCACATCTGTGGAGCATCAGTACATCAGCATCAACTATAATAGATGCAATGAACCTGATGTAAGGCAGCAAAGACGAGGCATCCTGCTCCAACCCATCCTCTCACCTAATGCATTGCGTTTTTATGGAATTGACAGTTTTGTAAACAAAATTTATGTATTAGCATAAATTAAAGCATTGTAATACTCACATTTCTATGCCTTGCCATTGACAGGTTAGCAGGTTGCATGTGTTTTGTTTCTGGTTAGGCAGAACAGTTGCATATTTTTGGAGTGGCAAATTGAAAAAATGGGCAAAAGGCTCAAACTGAAAAGAGCATTAGTTGAGTCATTTGATCTGGAAACCAAAAGACCTACAAGATCATAGGAAACCAGACTGAACCTTCACAGAGGTGTCAACCAGAGTTATGCAAAGGAGCAAAGTCCAAGCCTAGACTAGCAATGAAATGAGGTTACTGCTGCACAAGAGCCCCTGACTCATAGGAAAGTAGTTCTTCGACGTAGGACATTGTTCAACGTCCTCCCAGCGAGCATAAGAAATATTGCCAGAACAACCGTGGGTATGTGGGCCTGCGGGCCGCTCCAAGCAACAGCCTGGTGGACCAAACTCTCACAAGTCAAGCCTGGCCTCGGGCCGGGCTTGGGAAGTAGAAGAACTCCCAGAACCCCATCAAGCAGGTATCAAGCAGTAAAATACCTACTTCCAGAAGCATAAAGAACTTCCTTGGGAGAATGGGGAAACAGAATTTACCACCTCCAACGCCACTCACACTGCTATTGCTGCCCCACAGTTTTGGGTGTCAGTTACAGAGGTTTCATTTCTGGTTCTATTTCATTCTATGTTTGCCTTCCTTTTCCTGGATTTTACCTGGATGGGGTTCTGGGAGTTCTTCTCTCGGCTCGAGGCCAGACTTGACTTGTGAGAGCTTGGTCCAACAGGCTGTTGCTTGGAGTGGCCCGCAGGCCCACATATCCACCACAGCCTGGTTGGTCCGGCACTTCTTGAAGAAAACTATCCAGTTTGCTCTTAAAGATGTCCACATTTGTTCTGGCAATATTTCTAATGCTTGCTGGGAGGATGTTGAACAACTGTGGACCTCTAATGTTTAAACAGTGTTCTTTGATTGTGCCTATGGCATCTCTGCTTGTCACTGGTTCTATTCTGCATTTTCTTCCATATCCTTCACTCCAGTATGTTGTTATTTTACTGTGTAGATTTGGGACCTGGCCCTCCAGTATTTTCCACGTGTATATTATTTGATACCTCTCTCATCTCCTTTCTAGGGAATACATTTGGAGAGCTTAGACGATCCAAATAATTTAGGTGCTTTATCATATCTATGCACGTCCTGGTTGGCTTAAGCTTTGGACTCTGGTTTCTCTCAGTCTTTGGTAAGTTTTGTTCACCTTGTCCTGCATCAGTTAGGGCTGGTTTTCTGGGGGCTGACTCAACTGCCCCTTATGGTTATGAATTATTGTGGGCAATTGGGGTTGTTCTGATGTGTAACTGTCTTGTGGGTCTTTGCATTTCAGTCCCAGCTGACATTGGCAATTTTCTGCCAAAGCCTACTGCTTGGGTTTGTTTGCCAGCTTGGCTTTCATATGGATTTGTGTGAATGATGTTGTTGGCTTTTCCTGGCAGAGGCTTCTGTATAGGCGTCATGACTGGGTATTTTTTTGTTGCTTTGGTCCATGATGGGAGTTGGGGTGGGGGGGTTTGGAACCACCTGTAGATCTGCTCCATTGTTTTTTCTCCCTCTAAGGGATGGTGTGGCCATTCTTCTCAAGTGTAACTGGTAGAGGCATGGATACCCTGGTCTTTTAGTTCCCTCGTTTCTTTGATTTTTGAGGGGGGGGGGAGGGGGTTGCCTTGGGCTTCCTTTTATGTCTCCTGCAGTTAATGGTGAAGGCCTGCGGACTGATTGTCCATGCTGCTTGCCTTGCTCCACCTTGTGCTGCCTGCATGTAAAAGGAGGCACCCTTAAATTTGTTCTACTTCTCTTCATGAAACAAAATCTCAGGATGAACAACTGCTACTAAACTTATCAATTAGTCCCTCACTGACCTGTGATTCGAGCTTACATGAGTCTGGAAAAGTGTGGAACCGCTCCAGCACCTCTGTTTACTGTACTGGTGATGTAACCCAAGGGTGGATTTCAGTGTGCCCAGGTGGTTAATTAGCAATTAGGTGAATAATACTTTGCAGTCTATTTTTGAAATTAGCATTACTGTACTAGGAAAAGGTTTTGGGAGGAGATGAATGAACCTGTAACGTATATTTATGTGTATGTTTTCGGTTGATTAGACACACACAGGGTTGAGTGGTATTTTATATTTCTCTTTTCTTTATTTTATATTGTCTTGGTTACAGCAGTCTGTATGTTGGCAGTGTAGTGAAGTGTCGTAGTAGTCGAGACAAAGTCTGGAGCAGGGCAGAGAGCCGAGTGAGGCCGGGGATAGAGCAATACTGTAGTTTGGATGTGGACTGAGTGTGTAGAGTGTGGCGCTCTGAATGCGGGTGGCGTCGAGGAACTGAGTGCAGGATGATAATGTGGAACGTCGATGCGGCCGGAATCTGGCTGTCTGCTCTGTGTCAAGGCTGAGGTGTCTTGCGAGGGTAGGAACTGGACATGTCGAGTGTTACATTGTTGTTAGAGAATGTTGAAGATGTGCGGTATCTCTCATGCGTGTGTACTGAACCACTCTTAGAGGTAAACTGATGAAGATTGATTAATTGATGAAGATTAAGCCATCCAAGAGGTGGCACGGGCATGAATAGTCCATAATAATAATGATGATTCACTATCGACTGCTCATATAACCAGTCCACATATCACCTGACCATCCTCTAGCAGGTTTGGGAAGAGGTATTAACTGTACACTTGGGAAGAGGTATTAACTGTAATTAGTGGAGCAAGTAGAATTAACAGAGCCATCTCATTATCTGCCCATAAGCTATGGAGCAAGTATATTACTGACATAATATACTTGCTACAAACCTTCAGGGAGAGTCATTCTGGACAAGATTAGAACTTCTCCAGTGTCTCCCATCCCTTACTTATGGCTCGGTGGCAGTAGCTTGGAAAGATATCATCTACTTTGAGGAAGAAAAGTGTCTTAGAAAAGCTTAGAAAACAAAGAATTGAAGATATTCAGAGTAAATCCTAATCATTTATACAGCTTTCCACACAGCAAATGTTAAGACAAACTCTTCTCAAAGGTTTGTTAACAAAATGTACCTTTGTTGGTTAGTGGCTGGTGAGAATTGAGGAGCACGGTGGCGGTTGCTGTTGAAGGTACAGGAGAGACAGAACTGGTGGATCCACTGCTAGATGGGGTAGCAGGAGCTGGACCAGAAGCAGCAGTAGGATGAGGTCTTTTACTCTCTGAAGCAGAGTACTGTGGAAGGGGTGGCACGGGGGGTGGGGGCAAGTCTGGTGGAACTTTTCCAGGAAGGTCATTATAGTATTCAGGGTCATCACGTCCCCAGCTTGTTCCCTCACCATTCATGCCAGGCCTACAATGATAAAACAAACCATCAATTATTTCAAATAAAGACACTTAAAAATTTACTGTCATTGTAATTTTTGTTTCATTCTGTATAGTCAATGGTCATACCTGAAAGAGAAGTTCAAAGTCAGACATGGAGAAAAACTACAAGAACAAAAGAAGGGCAGAAAGCAGAGAAGAGTACTTGAGAGCTTGGAATAAGTATGAGTACCTACAAGCATAAGGGGAAGAGAGGAAATCTGAAAATTACAGGGCAGATAAAGCAAAGACCTAACCAAATTGCTTCACAGCCTCACCAAGAGAAAAACGACAGTTAATGAGCAGGTAAGGATCTAAGATGATTTTTATAAGGATCATAACAAGGATCTTAGATGAAAATAAGGATAGGATAGAAGTCATTCACTGAAAATGGTAGAGAAGTTGTGTGAGGACCTCAATAGTAGATTTCAGGTCTTCACAATATGGCAGGAAGACATTCTATACATGAGGAAAATGATCCCCAAACCAAACAGCAAAAGAACACTTCAAGAGAACGAAGAAGGTACTTTTTGCAGCAGGATATGGCTAAGGCAATGGGTCCTGACATGATTTCATAATGGATACTAAGAGGAGAAGAAGCCTTATACTACTTTTTATGATACATAACATCATTGGAATCAGAACAACTACCAAAGTTGGAAGAAACAATCCATTGATAATATAAGAAAAAGAAAACAGACAGGATGCAATAAACTTGAGAACAGTGTTCCTCACTTGCATAGTGGTTGCATAACATGCAAGTGACAGAAAAGACTATAAAATAGAGGCTAGAAGAACATCTGTAGAAAAAAAAGTCTTTATACTGTAACACAAATTATTGCAATTCGAATACAAAAATTATTTTCTTCTTGAATTTATCATGTGTACTTTTCTTAATTTTGATTAAGCATGCAGAGTGAATTTTTTTTTAACTTACTTGTCGGATTTGACGCTGGTGTATTGGACGGACGGCGTTCGCTTGAGGTACTCCTTAAACCTGAGCTCAAAAGCCTGGCCAATGGTAGTTATCACATCTTGAGCCAGACCTCCCCCACACTCCAGCACAAAACATGCTCGCCCGTACCGGCTGTCTTTGGCTACATACGCGATGAAGTCCAAGGTGTCCTGTGAGTGAACACACCAACCATATTAATAACAACTAGTACAGATTAGTGTAATGAGTACAGCACAGACAGACGCAGCGAGTGGTCATTAATACATCCTGGTGCAATGAGCAGAAGCCAGAAAAATGAGCAGAAATTGGTGTAAGGAGTAAAGGTTGGTGGTGGCAGGGGATGAAGGAGGGAGAGGAAGATGGGAAAAGAAAAAAAGTACGGTAGTATAAGAACACAAGACCATAAGCACAAAGGTAACTGCAGAAGGCCTATTGGCCCATACGAGGCAGCTAATATTTATAACCACCCAATCCCACGCGTATATATGTCCAACCCACGCTTAAAACAATCGAGGGACCCCAATAATATGTGGTAGTATGTTGCAGTGGATGTGGTATGTGGGAGTTTGTAACTAACGGTGCTATTTTGGATGCAGTGGTACAAATTATGTAATATTTATGGCAGTACTGTATATTGTAATAATATGCAGTATGTAACAATATGTGTCTGTAGTTAATAATATATAATATGTAATAATAATAATGTGCCAGTAGTATGTTGTTGTATGTGGTGTGGGTGGGAGGGGATGATGGAATATAAAAATACAACAGACAATCATCTTGAAGGAAAGAGACTGCCATACATCATGAGCAGTTTATTTAGACATATGTGACACCTCAGCTCACGAATGCCCCTATTTATGAACTTTTCAGGTTACGAGTCCAATTTCGTCGTAAAATTTGAATCGGGTTACGAGCTTTGCCTTGAGTAACTTAGTTTGTTGATACGCGTATGGGAGACCTAGCGTGTGATTCCTGGTGGCACAATCACCCGCGCTTCAGTTTACCAGTGCCTCCCGCTTAGTGACGATCGCGCTTGAATTCTTTGTAAAGAATTTTATTGTTTTTCGGATATCATTCCATGGGTCCCAAGAAAGTCAGTGGTAAGGTTCAACCTAAGAAAACACATGTGAGGATGACCATAGAGGAAAACCACGAGATCATTCGTAAACATGAAAATGGCACACCGGTTGTTGAACTAGCTAGGCAGTACAACAAATCTATGTCAATGATATGCGCTGTAATTGCTAAGAAAAAGGACATTATGAGTGCTAAAGTGGCAAAAAGCATATCAACAATTACGAAACAAAGAACACATACACTTGAGGATGTTGAAATAATGTTATTAATTTGGATACACAACAAGGAGTTAGCAGGTGATAGTGTTTCAGAGGCTATCATTTATGAAAAAGGTGGTGACCTTTTAAAGAAAACCCCTGGAATGAGTGATGCAGATGCAGACGAGGAGTCACAATAATGTGGCTGAAATATGTTGACCAAACCACACACTAGAAAGTGAAGGGACGATGACATTTTGGTCCGTCCTGGACCATTCTCAAGTCGGTTGTGCCGACTTGAGAATGTCACATACTCACAACTGACTTGAGAATGGTCCAGGACAAACCGAAACGTTGTCGTCCCTTCACTTTCTAGTGTGTGGTTTGAGTGATGCAGATAGGAAAGTGTTTAAGGCGAGCAGGAATGGTTTGAGAAAATTAGAAAAAGAAGTGGCATCCACAGTATTGTGAGAGTTTTGTGTGTGTTGTATTATGAGTTGGTGGAGAAACACAGTGAAGAACTGACCACTGAAGAACTCCTAGCCTTTTACAAGGAGCAGCAACAAGACAGCTGAGGAAATTTCTTCAGGGAAGGAGGAGGCAGTACAGAATGTTTCTTCCTCAACAATTAAGAGGTGGTGTAGACTATGGGAAGAAATGCAAACTTTTGTTGAAACAATTCACCCAGAGCAAGCTGTAGTAGGCCGTTGCATTAACCTTTTTGCCTCGCTGAGCCTCACTACAGACAAGTATTACAACGTAGGGAAAACAAATCTACCTGAAAGGTTTTTAGTGGGAAAAACAAGCAGTGAGCCACAACCAGGTTCTAGTGGCATTCCTGCAAAACATAGGAGAGAGAGAGTGTACCCCAGAGAAGACATCACCGCCTGATGTTATAATGGAAGGGGACTCCCCCTTCTAAATACTAATAACTCTCCTCCTTCCTCTCCCCCCCTCCTCACCACATCTTCCATACGCCAACAAGTCCTCAATATAGGTAAGCTATAACTTATACATACTATAGTACTAAATATTTGTATGAATTACGTATGAAATGTATTTTGAACTTAATATTTTTTGTAGTGTAGAATGGATTAATTCAATTTACATTATTTCTTATGGGAAATTCGCTTTGGGTTGCGAATTTTCGGGTTACGAACCGTCTCTGGGAATGGATTAAATTCGTAAATGGAGGGGGCCACTGTACACATTTAAATTGCCAACGTTGGGACAACGTATTACAACGTAGGGAAAATAAGTCTACATGAAAGGTTTTAAGTGAGAAAAACAAGCAGTGAGCCACAACCAGGTTTTTAGTGGCATTCCTGCAAAACATAGGAGAGAGAGAGAGTACCCTAGAGAAGACATCACTGCCTGATGTTATAATGGAAGGGGACTCCCTCTTCCAAATACTAACACCTCTCCTCCTCCCCCCCCCCCTCCTCACCATCTTCCATACGCCAACAAGTCCTCAATAAAGGCAAGCTATAACTTGTACAATCTATAGTACTAAATATTTGTGGGAATTAGGTATGAAATGTATTTTGAACTTAATATTTTTTGGAGTGTAGAATGGATTAATTCAATTTATATTATTTCTTATGGGAAATTCGCTTTGGGTTGCGAATTTTCAGGTTTCGAACCGTCTCTGGGAATGGATTAAATTCGTAAATGGAGGGGGCCACTGTACACATTTAAACTGCCACAATGAGGCCTAATAGCTGAAAATGAAGATGGTTATTTATATACAGTAACACTAAGTAACACACACAACAACACTTAAGTAATTCATTATGTTGCATTCTGAGATACCGACCAGAGGCGCACATCAATTTCTCGCACTGAAAATTCTGTAAGCAGATTTTGTAACTTTAAAGCCATTAGTGTTATAATTAAGAAATTTTTCTCTACTATATCATATGAGTAAGACTTAAGTTTAAATTTAATAACTTTAATCATTCTTGCAGAAGAAAAAATGTCTCTAGTGAAAAATTTCCTGCGATATCATTTGTCAATTAAGACTATTTCAAAATCTGCATGTAACAATATATGTAAAAATGTTAGTTTGACTACACATATTTGTTATCAAGATCTGCTTTGTAAATTGTTCCAGCCAAACTTGTGTGTTAAATTTGTTCTAAAATCTGACAACATAGTTCAATAACACTAGGTAAATTCTGGGCGCCACTAACCTGTACATGTTAGTATTAAGAGTTTGAATTAGGTATGAAATGTATTTTGAACTTAATATGATTCATGTAAGTATTTCCCAGATATTGCAGAAACCCTTTAAAATGAATTATTTAAATATTTGGATAATTGAAAACTCTAATATTTGATTTTACCATTAAATAAACTGACTTTGAAATAAGGTCACCTTACCGGGTCTCCACCTGAAGCAAAAGATATATTTGGCATGTCATGACAAGCAACCACTTGACCCGACTCGAGTATCGTCAGTGTTAGTGCGGTGCTCGTTATCGTCAGATTCACATTGCTGCCAGCATGCTCCATCATCGGTCGCTCCCCTAGGATCCGGCTGATTGTCTTCACTACCTTTCTTTTACGGTCTGCAGTCTTCAGACCTGCTGCTTCACACACTTTACTGATGCATTCTCTGTTGACCATTTCAAATCATTAAGTCAAAGCATTGAAAGAAGTGGTTATAATTAGAAACAACAATGTTTTACCTAGCAATGATAATCAGGCATAAACACAATACACAAATACCAACACAGGTTAAACCAAAACTAAATCTATAAAATAAATATAAAATGTTTACCATGACATTTATCGAATATTTGTTACATTTTAGTGCCACTGAATCTCTACACAACACAGGGATGTCAGTATAAATTACCAATTACCATTATTATTATTATTATTATTACTGTATTATTATTATTATTATTATTATAATTATTATTACTAATAAAATAATAATAATAATCACACACACATCACAATAACATGATATATATAAATTTGCAGGCGATGAGTCACAATAACGTGGCTAAAGTATGATGACCAGAAAAATTTTCTGACAGAAAAATGAGGGCAGTGATCAGAGGCAATGTATCGGACTGGAGAAATGTCACAAGTGGAGTACCACAGGGTTCAGTTCTTGCACCAGTGATGTTTAATGTCTACATAAATGATCTACCAGTTGGTATACAGAATTATATGAACATGTTTGCTGATAATGCTAAGATAATAGGAAGGATAAGAAACTTAGATGATTGTCATGCCCTTCAAGATGACCTGGACAAAATAAGTATATGGAGCACCACTTGGCAAATGGAATTTAATGTTAATAAATGCCATGTTATGAAATGTGGAATAGGAGAACATAGACCCCACTCAACCTATATATTATGTGAGAAATCTTAAAAGAATTCTGATAAAGAAAGAGATCTAGGGGTGGTTCTAGATAGAAAACTATCACCTGAGGACCACATAAAGAATATTGTGCGAGGAGCCTATGCCACGCTTTCTAACTTCAGAATTGCTCATAAATACATGGATGGCAATATACTAAAGAAATTGTTCATGACTTTTGTTAGGCCAAAGCTAGAATATGCAGCGGTCGTGTGGTGCCCATATCTTAAGAAGCACATCAACAAACTGGAAAAGGTGCAAAGACATGCTACTAAGTGGCTCCAAGAACTGAAGGGCAAGAGCTATGAGGAGAGGTTAGTGGCATTAAATATGCCAAAACTAGAAGACAGAAGAAAGAGAGGTGATATGATCACTACATACAAAATAGTAACAGGAATTGATAAAATCGATAGGGAAGATTTCCTGAGACCTGGAACTTTAAGAACAAGAGGTCATAGATTTAAAATAGCTAAACACAGATGCCGAAGAAATATAAGAAAATTCACTTTCGCAAACAGAGTGGTAGACGGTTGGAACAAGTTAGGTGAGAAGGTGGTGGAGGCCAAGACCGTCAGTAGTTTTAAAACGTTATATGACAGAGTGCTGGGAAGACGGGACACCACGAGCGTAGCTCTCATCCTGTAACTACACTTAGGTAATTACACTTAGGTAATTACACACTAGAAGGTGAAGGGACGACGACGTTTTGGTCCGTCCTGGACCATTCTCAAGTCGGAACGTCGTCGTCCCTTCACCTTCTAGTGTGTGGTCTGGTCATAATATATATATCAATGAGAAAACTAGGGCAATGAGGTGGGCGCAAACCTACAACTTTGGCGTTGTCAGCCGCAAACTCTACTGTACCACTATGCCAACGCTGACTTGTATGACTATTACAAGTCAGCGCTTGTCTAGTGGTAGAGTATGTGGCTGGCAATGCCAAGGTCGTAGGTTCGCACCCACCTGCTTGATGGGGTTCTGGGAGTTTTTCTACTCCCTAAGCCTAGCTCGAGGCCAGGCTTGACTTGTGAGAGCTTAGTCAACCAGGCTGTTGCTTGGAGCGGCCCGCAGGCCCACATACCCACCACAGCCCGGTTGGTCCGGCACTCCTTGAAGAAAACTATCTAGTTTTCTCTTGAAGATGTCCACTGTTGTTCCAACAATATTTCTTATGCTCGCTGGGAGGATGTTGAACAGCCGCGGACTTCTGATGCTTATACAGTTCTCTCTGATTGTGCCTATGGCACCCCTGCTCTTCACTGGTTCTATTCTGCATTTTCTTCCATATCGTTCACTCCAATATGTTGTTATTATACTGTGTAGATTTGGGACCTGGCCCTCCAGTATTTTCCATGTGTATATTATTTGATCTCTCTCTCGTCGTCTATCTAGCGAGTACTGTACATTTGGAGGACTTTGAGATGATCTCAATATTTTAGGTGCTTTATCGCATCTATGTATGCTGTGTATGTTCTCTGTACTCCCACTTTCTGCAATCTTTCCTGCTTTGAAGGGGGGGGGGGGGGGTGAGTACTGAGCAGTATTCAAGACAGGACAGCACAAGTGATTTGAAGAGTACAACCATTGTGATGGGATCCCTGGATTTGACCTCATTGTCCTAATGGATTCTCTCAATAAAAATAATAATACAGGTAATAATAATGAGAAAGTCCACTAAGACTATAGGTGAATGCAAATATACGACACCGGCATTGCCAGCTATGTACTCTATCACTAGACCACCGTGGCTTGTAAAAGTCATACAACCGGATTTCTACTGAAATCACAGGAAGTCTGGAGGCCCCTACTGAAGTCAGTCCAGGTTTTTACATATGACCCACAAGCAATTCTTGTGATTTCAGTAGAAATCTGGTTATATGACATTGACAAGTCAGCATTGGTCTAGTAGAGTACACAACTGGCAATTCCAGGGTCATAGGATCGCATCCATTTATACTCCTAGTGAATTTTCTTAATGTGATTTCTGCATGTTAATAATATTAATTATAATAAACATTTCATTCACCTGGCCTCTCTGTGTGACTCGAACCACAGATCCACGTGTGAGGCAGAGGCTGTATCCACTCAGCTGCGAATAGTCTTAATAAGGAAAGATTCCAAAGCCTCTGACTCACATGTATGGGGTCCGTGGTTTGGGTCTCCTAGAGCGTAGGTGAATGAAATGTTTATTTCCATGGAAGTGTGCATGACAATTAAATAATAATAATAATAAATAATAATAATAATAATAATAATAATAATAATAATAATAATAATAATAATAATAATAATAATAATAATAATAATACAGTATTATTATTAATATTGAGAAAATCAGAAGTAACCAAGAGGAGAATTCAAACCCGCTCACTTGATACTCCCAAGCAAATGCCCTAGACCACTACACCCTGACATGGTAAAAAGCAATGTAAGCTGAGATTCCATTGAATCCTCTAGGGGTCCTCAGGCTTCCAATTGAATCCCAATCAAGATTTTACACACTGCCCCCATGCACTTTGGCTTATAGCCTCAGGACCCCTTAAAGATGAAATCCCATGTTGGATTGCTTCTGATCAAGTCGTGGTGTAGGGGTCTAGGGTGTTTGCTTGATAGAACCAAGTGAGCGATTCTGAAGCCTTCTCATGGATCCTATTGATTTACTCATTGGTACATCACATTAACGTGATGTTAATGGGATGACCACTGTAACTTAATTACAGTGGTACCTTGGTTTATGACTGCCCTAGATAACGATTTTTTTGGCATACGACGTTACTTTACCTTGGCCTTGAGGCTACCTTGAGATGATTTCAGGGCTTAGCGTCCTCATGGCCCGGTCCTCGATTAGGCCTCCTTGTTGCTGGACTGGTTAACAAGACTGTTGGATGCGGCTGCATGCATCCTGACATATGAGTCACAGCTTGGTTGATCAGGTATCCTTCGGAGGTGCTTATCAAGTTCTCTTTTGAAAATTGAGGGGTCGGCCAGTTATACTCCTTATGTGTAGTGGAAGCGTGTTGAACAGTCCCGGGCCTCTGATGTTGATAAGAGTTCTCTCTCAGAGTACCTATTGCGTCTCTGCTATTCAACGGGGGTATTCTGCACATCCTGCCATGCCTTCTGGTCTCATGGGGTGTTATTTCTGTGGGTAGGTTTGGCAGACCAACCCCTCTACTATTTTCCATGTGTAAATTATTATGTATCTCTCCCACCTGCGCTCAAGAGAATACAGATTTGTCATTTTAGTCAGTCCTAATAGTTTGGATGTTTTACCAAGTGGATTCAAGCAGTAAAGGATCTTTGCACACTCTTACGTCAAATTCTTATCTCTGGTTCAAGTCTTTTGAGTCAAGTCACATCAAGTCAAGTCAGGGTCAAGTCATCTCAACCAGAGATAACTCAGGTTATCTCTGATTCAAAGGATCGCTGCATGCTGTTACTACTTATGTCAAATTTATCGTAAAATCTGAATTGATGTACGACGTTTGCCTTGGAACACGATTCGTCTGTTGATATGTACTTGTATGGGTCGGGCGAGTGCGTGGTTCTGCTGGGCGCAGCATGGGCGAGGCACGTTCAGTGTTTACCAGTGTCTCCCTCATAGTGACGATCGCGCTTAAATTCTTTGTAAAGAATTTCATTGTTTTTCTGCGTTTTTGGCTTCTGAACATAAAAGTTCTTATTATATATATCACACCAAGGGTTCCAAGAATGTCAGTGGTGAAGTTCAACCTAAAATAATAGTTGTGAGGATGACGATAGAAGATAAACAAGGGATGTGCAGTCACCGGGAGGACAAACCCTTCATGCAAACTGCACCTACTATCAAGAAGATGTCTCACTACAGACAAGTGTTAAGACATAGGGAAAAACAAGTTTCTATAGACAGGTTTTTAATGAGACAAACAAGCAGTGAGCCACAACCAGGTCCTAGTGGTATGCCTGTAAAATGTGTGAGAGAGAGAGAGTACCCCAGAAATGGCATCAGTGCCTGATGTTATAAAAAAAGGGGGGACTCCCCCTTCCAAACATTAACATCTCCCCCCCCCCCCCCCAATCTCACCGTCTTCCATACGCAAACAAGAGTCCAAGGTACTCTTGTTTGGTAAGGTACCTTTACAGTATAGCAAAAAATATGAGTAGTATTTTGTATAAAATGTATTTTTAAGTTAATAATTTTGGGTATGTGTGTGAACAGATTTATTCAATTTACATTATTTTTTATAGGAAAATTTGTACGAGTTTACGATTTGTTGGTTTACGACATTTCTCATGGAACGGATTAAAATCGTAAACAAAAGTACCACCGTATTATTATATCCAAACACAATGTTTCAAGACAAAAAATAAAACAAACTTACTTTGCAATTAATGATCTGGTGTCAAAGTTTAAGCTTTTCATAGACGTGTTCACTTCTAGGCAACCAATATACTGCAAAGAAAGAAATACATCAATAATACAAAAAGAGAATAATTTAGCCTTACAGTATATTTGCACTGTATCATTCACACCAGCCCTTCCTACTGTTTTGGTAGTACTGTACTTAGGGTAACGATCAGGACCATCATATATACCCTGGAAACACAAACCGAAACTGTCTCTATTTTCCGCTTGTTACAACTTGTAATAAAGTTGTTACATCTTGGCTTAACGTGTTTATGACGTATTAGAACGTTGTTACAACTTGCTATATTGGTTGTTATAACTGGTTAGGAAGTGTTAAAACTTGTTCGAACGTTGTACCAACGTCGTAGTTTCGGTGTGTGTTTGGCGGGTATATACTATACCGACGTACAACAAAAGTAGAAATCTGAGCTACCGAGTTGGACAAACCGGAAAACTATTTTTTGTGTTGCTTTGACAAACTAAACTAACCAAACCTTCATTCACAATATCTGACGCCTAATATAGTGCATATATGTGCTATACTAGGCCCCTAGGAATATTTAACCACTGCACTGCACAAAGCGCCTTTAGGCGCTCAGAGAGTTGTGCTTTTTGTTTTTTAATTTGGCTATATTTTAATGTTTTTTAATGTTTTCATTACTATTTGTGTTTTGAAATGGAAATAGTTGACTTTGGAAACATTTTGACATTAAATTTACCTGAACATTTGTAAAAATAACAAAAATATGTCCTTGACAATTGCACCAAGACGTTTTTGCCGAAAATAGGTGAGCAGTGCAAGGGTTAAGCTTGTTTTTTAACTTCATTTTTTTTTAAAGAATTTCTTACTTGTCAGTATACTATCTAAAACCTAAGTACAACGTACAAAATCGTGATCACTGACGGCCGTCACATTAGGAACTATCAAAACCGGAGGATGGGTTGTTCATACTGAAGGCATTCACACAATATTCTGAAGGTATCATTCACACAATATTCTGAAGGTATCATTCACACAATATTCTGAAGGTATCATTCACACAATATTCTGAAGGTATCATTCACACAATATTCTGAAGGTATCATTCACACAATATTCTGAAGGTATCATTCACACAATATTCTGAAGGTATCATTCACACAATATTCTGAAGGTATCATTCACACAATATTCTGAAGGTATCATTCACACAATATTCTGAAGGTATCATTCACACAATATTCTGAAGGTATCATTCACACAATATTCTGAAGGTATCATTCACACAATATTCTGAAGGTATCATTCACACAATATTCTGAAGGTATCATTCACACAATATTCTGAAGGTATCATTCACACAATATTCTGAAGGTATCATTCACACTATATTCTGAAGGTATCATTCACACAATATTCTGAAGGTATCATTCACACAATATTCTGAAGGTATCATTCACACAATATTCTGAAGGTATCATTCACACTATACATTACTTATTTATTTTATTTATTTATTTAGTGATTTATTTATTTACAAGGTAATTTGGGGTTTGTGACATTACATAATATTGGTATTTTTACATTCTTGCAAAGCAACACGAGTCATTGTTAGTTGGTCCAGCAACATGGGTCAGCTGTCAACTAGTGCAGCAACATGGGTCAGCTGTCAACTAGTGCAGCAACATGGGTCAGCTGTCAACTAGAGCAGCAACATGGGTCAGTTGTCAACTAGTGCAGCAACATGGGTCAGCTGTCAACTAGAGCAGCAACATATTTATTTTATGCAGCAACATGGGTCAGTTTTATTTAGTGAGTGCAGCAACATTATTTATTTACAAGGTAATTTGGGGTTTGTGACATTACATAATATTGGTATTTTTACAAGGTAACATGGGTCTTGCACATTAAGCAACACGAGTCATTGTACATTCTTAGCAACACGAGTCATTGTCCAGCAACTGTCAACTAGTGCAGCAACATGGGTCAGTTGTCAACTAGAGCAGCACAACTGGGTCAGTTGTCAACTAGTGCAGCAACATGGGTCAGCTGTCAACTAGAGCAGCAACATGGGGTCAGTTGTCAACTAGAGCAGCAACATGGGTCAGTTGTCAACTAAGTGCAGCAACATGGGTCAGTTGTCAACTACTGCAGCAACATGGGTCAGTTGTCAACTAGTGCAGCAACATGGGTCAGTTGTCAGCTAGTGCAGCAACATGGGTCAGTTGTCAACTAGTGCAGCAACATGGGTCAGTTGTCAACTACTGCAGCAACATGGGTCAGTTGTCAACATACTGCAGCAACATGGGTCAGTTGTCAACTAGTGCAGCAACATGGGTCAGTGTAAACTAGTGCAGCAACATGTGTCAGCTGTCAACTAGTGCAGCAAACATGGGTCAGCTGTCAACTAGTGCAGCAACATGGGTCAGTTGTCAACTAGTGCAGCAACATGGGTCAGTTGTCAGCAACATGGGTCAGTTGTCAACTAGTGCAGCAACACGAGTCAGTTGTTAGTTGGTCCAGCAACATGGGTCAGTTGTCAACTAGTGCAGCAACATGGGTCAGTTGTCAACTACTGCAGCAACATGGGTCAGCTGTCAACTACTGCAGCAACATGGGTCAGTTTGTCAATGCAGCAACATGGGTCAGTTGTCAACTAGAGCAGCAACATGGGTCAGTCAGTTGTCAACTACTGCAGCAACATGGGTCAGTTGTCAACTGCAGCAACAGCAGCAACATGGGTCAGCTGTCAACTACTGCAGCAACATGGGTCAGTTGTCAACTAGAGCAGCAACATGGGTCAGTTGTCAACTAGCAGTTGTCAACTAGAGCAGCAACATGGGTCAGTTGTCAACTAGAGCAGCAACATGGGTCAGGTCAGTTGTCAACTAGTGCAGCAACATGGGTCAGTTGTCAACTAGAGCAGCAACATGGGTCAGTTGTCAACTAGAGCAGCAACATGGGTCAGTTGTCAACTAGAGCAGCAACATGGGTCAGCTGTCAACTAGTGCAGCAACATGGGTCAGTTGTCAACTAGTGCAGCAACATGGGTCAGTTGTCAACTAGAGCAGCAACATGGGTCAGTTGTCAACTAGTGCAGCAACATGGGTCAGTTGTCAACTAGTGCAGCAACATGGGTCAGTTGTCAACTAGAGCAGCAACATGGGTCAGCTGTCAACTAGTGCAGCAACATGGGTCAGTTGTCAACTAGAGCAGCAACATGGGTCAGTTGTCAACTAGTGCAGCAACATGGGTCAGTTGTCAACTAGTGCAGCAACATGGGTCAGTTGTCAACTAGTGCAGCAACATGGGTCAGTTGTCAACTAGTGCAGCAACATGGGTCAGTTGTCAACTAGTGCAGCAACATGGGTCAGTTGTCAACTAGTGCAGCAACATGGGTCAGTTGTCAACTAGTGCAGCAACATGGGTCAGTTGTCAACTAGTGCAGCAACATGGGTCAGTTGTCAACTAGTGCAGCAACATGGGTCAGTTGTCAACTACTGCAGCAACATGGGTCAGTTGTCAACTAGAGCAGCAACATGGGTCAGTTGTCAACTACTGCAGCAACATGGGTCAGTTGTCAACTACTGCAGCAACATGGGTCAGTTGTCAACTAGTGCAGCAACATGGGTCAGTTGTCAACTACTGCAGCAACATGGGTCAGTTGTCAACTAGAGCAGCAACATGGGTCAGTTGTCAACTAGTGCAGCAACATGGGTCAGTTGTCAACTAGAGCAGCAACATGGGTCAGTTGTCAACTAGTGCAGCAACATGGGTCAGCTGTCAACTAGAGCAGCAACATGGGTCAGTTGTCAACTAGAGCAGCAACATGGGTCAGTTGTCAACTAGTGCAGCAACATGGGTCAGTTGTCAACTACTGCAGCAACATGGGTCAGTTGTCAACTAGTGCAGCAACATGGGTCAGTTGTCAGCTAGTGCAGCAACATGGGTCAGTTGTCAACTAGTGCAGCAACATGGGTCAGTTGTCAACTACTGCAGCAACATGGGTCAGTTGTCAACTACTGCAGCAACATGGGTCAGTTGTCAACTAGTGCAGCAACATGGGTCAGTTGTCAACTAGTGCAGCAACATGGGTCAGCTGTCAACTAGTGCAGCAACATGGGTCAGCTGTCAACTAGTGCAGCAACATGGGTCAGTTGTCAACTAGTGCAGCAACATGGGTCAGTTGTCAACTAGTGCAGCAACATGGGTCAGTTGTCAACTAGTGCAGCAACATGGGTCAGTTGTCAACTAGTGCAGCAACATGGGTCAGTTGTCAACTAGTGCAGCAACATGGGTCAGCTGTCAACTAGTGCAGCAACATGGGTCAGCTGTCAACTAGTGCAGCAACATGGGTCAGTTGTCAACTAGTGCAGCAACATGGGTCAGTTGTCAACTAGTGCAGCAACATGGGTCAGTTGTCAACTAGTGCAGCAACATGGGTCAGTTGTCAACTAGTGCAGCAACATGGGTCAGTTGTCAACTAGTGCAGCAACATGGGTCAGCTGTCAACTAGTGCAGCAACATGGGTCAGTTGTCAACTAGTGCAGCAACATGGGTCAGCTGTCAACTAGTGCAGCAACATGGGTCAGTTGTCAACTAGTGCAGCAACATGGGTCAGTTATCAACTAGTGCAGCAACATGGGTCAGTTGTCAACTAGTGCAGCAACATGGGTCAGTTGTCAACTAGTGCAGCAACATGGGTCAGTTGTCAACTAGTGCAGCAACATGGGTCAGTTGTCAACTAGTGCAGCAACATGGGTCAGTTGTCAACTAGTGCAGCAACATGGGTCAGTTGTCAACTAGTGCAGCAACATGGGTCAGTTGTCAACTAGTGCAGCAACATGGGTCAGTTGTCAACTACTGCAGCAACATGGGTCAGTTGTCAACTAGAGCAGCAACATGGGTCAGTTGTCAACTACTGCAGCAACATGGGTCAGTTGTCAACTACTGCAGCAACATGGGTCAGTTGTCAACTAGTGCAGCAACATGGGTCAGTTGTCAACTACTGCAGCAACATGGGTCAGTTGTCAACTAGAGCAGCAACATGGGTCAGTTGTCAACT